TGAGAGAGGGAGAGAGCGTTTTCAGAGAGAGAGAGAGAGAGAGAGAGTTTTCTGAGATATATATAGAGAGAGAGATCTGTAGCCCGTCTGTGTAGTTGACAACTTCAGATAAGAGGGGAGAAATTTTGAGTGTGTAAAGGATATACATTTAAAAAAAGAAAGAAAGGAAATCATAGAATTGGTAGCTCCTTAGAACAGTTCGATTTACCAATTGGTGCAAGTAGAATAGTATTAAACGATTCATGCCTTCTTTTTCTTTCTTAGCTAGTAAGAATAAGATGAGAGATCGAGATGCTTCTATCCGACTGTGTGCTAGAGAGAGAAAGGAAAAATTTGAGTGTGTAAATGGAGTGATAAAGGTAGTGATTCCTTCTCATAATAGTTCTTGCCTTTTTTCTCACACTTACAAAGAAAAAGTGGAGAGATTAAATGACTCATAGTATGTGATTTTATTTTTTAAAGGAATTGTGTACTATGAGTGTTGAGGATTGATGTCTTGTATTTTGAAGAAATAGATTTGTCAAGGTGGAGTCAAAAGGATGATTTCGGAGGGTTGTTAAAAGTCAAGGGTTTAAGGCTAGGAGAAGTGTACGGCCAGGTAGACTTCAGGTAGACTTGCCCTTGCGGGTGTTCGGGGGCTCTTCCCTCGAGAAAATTTTTGGATATTCTTACATGGGGATTCGATATATATATATGTATATGGGGTATTTCAGTAATTTGTACCATCTATTTGAGATTTGATATATATCGTTGTGATGGGTTTTTTTAAGTATGTTGTTGAATTATGTATATCTTTGTGTTATAGTTGATTGTTCTTTTTTTTGGTTTTGTGGATTGCTTTTAAAGTTTCTACAAGATCATTTGTTTTTTGCAGTGGTTTAAAAAGCGGATCGGTGACTCGGATCGAGCATATAATAAACCCATCCGAATCGGCGATCCGGATCGAGAATCGGTTGAATCGGTCAGATTAAATTTTAAAAACAATTCAAAAAAATTATTACAATTTATTAGAAATGTTGTTTTTTAGGAATTCAATAAGAAATGAGGATATACCATTAAGAATTTTCATTTCTTTGCATGAATATGCGAATATTGATATGTTCTTTCCCTGCATGAACTACTATTTATCATTTAATTTACATCACATAAAAGGATAAACATTGAATTATCATGGATTAATAATATCATCATACATGAATTACAATAAAGTATACAATTCGTAACATACGATCTAAAAATAAAATGACAGACGACGTCATTTTTCATCTTGGTCACGCTGGTGCTATTGATTGAATTCGCGTGACAATTCATTGACTCGATTTAAAAACGAATCATTCAAATTAGTGGGCACCTAACTATACCCAAATCCCTTAGTGTTATTGTTTTGTTTTGGTCCGAATCCAAAATCCTCGAAGCTTGTCCATCATTCATGCTCACCTACACTATCGTGCTCATCCCTACCCTCTTGTTGTTGGGATTCGATATGTGAATAATTTGGCTGGGATTGGGTGGCCTCAGAATCATCACCTCTCTCATTTTCCTTTAGACCCCCTTCCCAATCTCCCTCATTAGGTGCAATATCACCGACATCTCCGACGAATTGTAGATATGTTGGCGGGCTGCTTCCTCTTTCATGCTGTTCATCACCTTCTTTAAGATCTTCCTCACCGATAGACTCAAGGAACGCTCTCTTGTGCAACACTGGCTCCTCCTCTTCTACTACCCATTGTTTTGCTGTGTCTGTGACAAATATTGTGTCCAAGTCTATCGGCCCATAGTCTTCAAGCTTCTTTCTTATTTGTCACTATCGGAGGTTTAAGTTGTAATGAACGTAGACTAGTTTATGAAGCTTTTCCGAAGCGAGTCGATTCCTCCTACTAATGTGCAACCATCGGAACGTCGTTCACACCTAGTAGCAGAACAAGTCTGGGAGAGCACCTTGATTGCTATCCTCTTTATGATCACTACTATATATCTCCTACCATTCAGCTGAATTAAAATGCAAAAAACATTATAAGGGCAAAAACAATTCATAAGATTAAATATATGAATGAACAAAATATTAGTTAGAGGATAACCTGGATCCATCTTAGTTCGAGAATACCTAGCAAGTCTAGTTACTAAGGATCCTATAGCATCCCTATACATAGCAAGCTAAAACAAAATATTTTCGTTTTAGTGCATTATTCCTCACAAATATAACAACTCAATCAAGTTCTTACCGAAATATTAAATAATACCTCTTGTATTGCTGCTATCTGGTTTCGATAGCTTCTCTCCAACCTGGCAATAATGTATCTGACCCCTTCCATAATCTTGTGGGGATGTTTAGGTGTTAAATAGAAAAATTTTGGGTTAAAGTAGTAATTTGGAAAATATATAGATAGATAAATGTCATTTAAAATTTCATAAAAAAATAATTTACAATGAAACATTCTAATGATATAAATATATATTTACCTGCATAATGAATTGGACGTCCAAATTTGGTGTTCCACATTCTTTTTATAATCTCAATCACTTTACTAGCAAAACTGTACTTCTCCCCAATAGTTGATTTGGCCCTCTCGATACCTTCATAAAGGATGCCCATGGTAGCTTTCTTGTCAACATCCACCATCCTTAACACCGTGACCAAAGGGACAGTGGCCTCTACGATACTAGAACATCGAAACTAGAACCTCCTATTTGAGACTATGCACTCCACTTTTAGCCCGGTGCTGGATTTCGAGAGGCCGTCATTTAACCACTCTTCACTGGTAAACAATCTCTTTATTGCACCTTCAGATTCTCGAATGGAGTCCATAGCCAAGTAATCTGTTGTAAAGAGGGTTATGGCAGGTCTTATTATCTCTTTTTTCTTAGACTGTTCTCTGAACAAAAATAAAATTTTAGAATGGTTATATATGAACCTTGACACCAACCTCGCTTCTTGTAGAGTCTCTTTCAAAATTTTGATCTCACCGATCTCCTCTAACATAAGATCGATGCTATGTGCAACACATGGGGTCCATACTAGATGCTTCCTCTTATCCATCAATTTGCTGCTCGCAGAAACACACGCACGCGCATTGTCTGCAATAAACTGAACTACATTCTTATCTCTCACCTCCTCCACTATTTGATCATATA